TGAATATCTTGACTTTTCAGCAGTTAACCTCTCAAACCTTGACATTGTATTAAAGCAGTTTTTTCTTAGATAATAAAAATAAACACTGACTATACAGTATATCAAAAGTAACCTTAAATAGAATGTCGTAAGTATATTTCCAAGGCTATGCTTCAATAAGATTTGTATCTAATTAAGTCATTTTATCATTCATTTATCATTTTGTTTAATGTTCTGCTCCACTCATATGTTGTTTCATATATAATCAGTGTATGCTAAATAGATTTAAATTATAGGATTATAGATGTATAAGAATGGCAAGTATTCAGGAGTGATGAGTGTGTATTAAGGATGTAGGCATGGCAAGAATGCAAGGCCCACAGGCTGAGACCTTTAAGATTTTAGCTTAGCCATACTAGGCCATAGGTTTAAGAACGCTTAACGTGAGCGGGTGATCTAGGAACAATCCTGTGCCAGCAAGGCCACAAGATTACTGTAAAAGATGTGCCAGAAGGTGATGGTACAAAACCCTAGATTGCAATAGGCTTGTTGTCCAAGATCACGAGACATCTGATTGTCACATCATGGAATGTCCTGTCCTGACGCAGGTTACATGTTGTGCATAGATGCTAATGAGAATAAGAGGAACTAAGAAACAATCTATGAAAAATGGAGCACTCCAATATTCATGGGGTATGGAAGTACGGATAAGGAAAAGAGTGTTGAAACCCTCATGCATATGCATAAGGTAGTAGGTGTGGTCAAAACAACAATATAAAGGAGGTTTTCTGTTTGGGTAAAAGTTGGAAGACCCCAAGGGACGACCCAACAGGAAACCCCAGCAGGAACCATCCCTCTCTTGATGATTCTCAGTTGAGAGGTCCATCGGACCCTAGAATATCTTTGAGGATGTTAGTATGACTACAGTCTGAGTCATTGCATGGGTTTTTTTGTAGGATTTATAGATGCATGGGAAATTGTAACTTTACTTATTGCTTTAATAAAACTTTTAGTACTGATAAGACTTTTTCCTTGTGGTTGCATCTGTGGTCACTATCCTTAGTCTTCATGTGCTCCTGGAGCCTCCAAATTTGAGAAAAGCCCCAGAGATGATTTTTCATTCAGTTGAGCTTGAACCTGTAGCAACAGGAGCCGAACCCATGGTAGTTTAATACGGAATTATTAAATTCAGTTTAAATAAAAACGGCTGCAGATGGCACCTTTGTAGCAAAACACAGAAAGCTAATTTTGATACGCTTTTAACAGTTTCTGTTATCTTTTAGGCCTGGGCTACACTTTCAATGTAGGTTGACATGGTTACATTGTCAGGGATATGAAAGATTCAGACCTTGGCGCAAGGTAGCTATGCCAATAGAGTTTTCATAGTGTAAATATGACCTTAGACTTAAGAACCACTCTCAGTGGGCGCCCCAGTAATGCTTGGTTTTCTGTTTGTTTAAATTATACCACAACAAATGCAAACAGTGACTAATAAAGAGAGCAGATAAACATATATTTTCTATGTTTTTAACGGTGAAGAGATGTATGTACCTCTTATTATTATGTTCAGCTGTTTCAAGATATTGACTCTCGTTCACTGTTTGGAGTTTGATTTTTATTGAAGGTTGAGGAAGAAAATAGTTTTTGCAACCTGGCAAGTGCAAAAGCAGTTATTGATTTCATCCCAGATAAAGGTCATACAATAAAACCTGCAAATTGGGATCTTTATAGTTTTTCTTTGTTCTTATATACGAGTTGATGCTATTTGTATTCCTGGGAGCATGTTCTCCCGCATACTGGCACACGTGAATTTGGTTACACATACTTGTCATGGGTTTTTAGGACAGAGGGGGAAAAGGTCTATTTTTCAGCATATAAGGAACTCTGCTTTTTATTGGGTCAAGGCATGTAATCAGACTATTATTTTTGAGCACTATCTATTTAAAAAACAAAACAAAATCTCAAAACAAAAGTGATAAAATTTTAACACTTGGGGTATAGAGAGCTGGAAGCTCACTTTGTTATGCATAATAGTCAGACCAGTTTATTCATGAAGTTTTGGAATCATATATGTCCAATGGTGTCCACAACGGCATGCATGGTGCCTCCTTTGGCAGCGATGAGAAACAGCGGTCCTGGCTGCCCTGCTGTCCACTTAGGTTTGGCCCTGCTGGCCCTCCATCATGATGGGGAGGCAGTGGGGCCAAAATTGAGTGAATGGTGTGGCGACTTGGTGTGACATCCCCTCTACCTGTGTGTACCAGATCACAATGCCATTCACTCAGTTTTGAACCCACTGCCCTCTTGTCATGACAGAGAGCTGGCAGGGACAAATTTGAGTGGACAGTGAGGTGGACAGTGCTGACCCACCTCACCACTGCCATGGGGGTAGCTTCTGCACCAGGGTTTCCCACTGGGAGACTGCCTGGCTTGGCCCACTTCCGATAGCCCATGTCCCCTCTCTGGGGTAGGGAGTGACACTGCACCTGGGTGGGCTGGACTGGACTGAAAGATGGGCTGAGCATGGCGCAGACTCAGCAGGTAGGGTGAAGGGGCCAGTGGCTGCAACAGGGATGGCTCCACAGGGATTGACATTGCGTACCAACTCAAACATTTCTGGGGTGTCCCTGTATATGTCCCTAAAATACACACAAGTTCAGAGTTCCATGTTTTTCATTTTGCCTTCACACGGTTTCCACATGGCAAGAGAAAGCTCAAGGTTTTTCTCTTCAGAAGTTGTGTTTGTCCATGCATTCATTAAAGTGCATGTGATTTCCATTTTGAGGCAGAAGGAAGCAATAATAAACAGTGAGCGAAGCAAGTTACAGTAATCTGTAGCCTGAATATTTTAATAAATGCTAAATTTAAAAAATGGATGCAGACCTGTATGTTTTTGTCATTCTTTGTTATCTTTAAATTTTTATTCTTTGGTTTGTGACCGTCAATGTGAGGGCATTTAGCACCAATCTAATTGGATACTGTTGCTGCTCTGTGGATTCCAAGCAGCATGATCCATGTTCTCTTTTTGCAAGAGGTGCCAACTCCAATGATTGTATATGCTCCTCAAATTGACAGAGGATATACTTATTTGGAAACCATGCTACTGCACAATTTATAGTAAACCCTGCTGCAGTAATTTTCAAAGATATATTTTATAGATTTTTCCCAAGAATCCTACTAATTTTACTTTATGATAGTCATGGAAATTAGCATGCACTAATAATGATCACAAGTAGAATGTGAATAAACATGGAGGACCCTTTGAATGGGTCTTTTGGTGATCTCTGAATGGTGTTTGCGACCCTGCTGCACTTGTAGGTAGAGGCTCTGCTTGAGGCAGAGACAGAGAGCAGTGTAGAGCTTCTGCAGAAGGCCATCACTGTGATGAGGTGCAACAAGGCTGTGTGACCTGCCCCAGGACACCAAATGACCACCTGAGAGAACTTGTCTCAGGTGAGACATCTTCGGTTGTGGAATAGGGGCACCAGGTAAGTAATGGTGCCTCACGTGAGGGATTGCAAGACTGGGCCTTTATTATTGCTAACGTAATATAACCATGAAGCATTTTTGTTTGTCCCACTGTATTCGTTTCTATGTAATAGCTAATTCAAATAAAATGAATGAAGCCTTGTTCTTTTTTTCAACTAGTTTGAGTTGGTGGCACTTTTCTGGGGCACAGATATATTTGACAGGAAAAGTGGTAATCGCTTTTGTGTTCTGAAAACAAGGTGTTCCTTCTTGACCATGTAGCATGGCGTAGTTTGTTCCTTACCACTATATCTCTAAGACCCACCTTTGTCTGTCTTCCTTCCTTCCAACTACAGCTCTCTTTCATTCCTTCATTTATGTCAAATGCTGCAATATCCCACTCCCTGGCCTCCCAAACACACACATTGACCCCCCCTTAGTCCATGCAAAACACCTCTGCTAAAAATAGTCTGTCTTGCCTGTTGTTTTCACTGTCATGCTGTCTTTGAATCCCTCGGCCTCCATTACCTCATCAAATTAAACTTCTTATTGCTGCCTTCAAAGGCCTGCTGAAGTGTGTCTTCCTTACTTATTCACCTGTGCTTCGTTTCCAGTCATGTCCAACTCCTTCTGCTTTGCCTGTGGTGCCAGCCTTATCCTTCCATGTGTCAGCTTCTCATGTAAACCCGTCTGTCTTCTTCAATGCTATGTGCTGTGCCTGGAAAGTTCTTCCTGAGCTAATCAGTAAGACCAATAACCTCTCCATATTTAAGCCTCACTTGAAGACTGAATTCTGCTATGTTTTCTATGAGAAATCTAGCTGATTTTTACTGTCTGAACAGAGAAAGACCTGGCCAAAGATCACCTTAACCCGTCTATTTTTATGTTTTACCCATTGTGCCTAACCTTCATTTGGCTGGCTCTCTTGCAAGTCAAACTTAGTGGGACAGGGAGTTCATACCAGTTTCTGTTTCAAAAACGTCTAGTGTAATTTGCGCTCTACCACAAACAAACAAACAAACAATAATACCCCTGATCTGACAGACCCTAGCATTACCATTAGCAATAGGGGTGACAAGTAGTTTCAGTTCCAGGTATTTCCAGTAGGATATATTGCTGTATCATTGCTTGCAGGGAGGGAGATCTGTAGCTTTTAGAAAATAAAGTATTGAAAAGAATACTGCATATGTTGAATAAGTTCTAATGTACAGATGGATTCTTTATCAGCATGAGCCATAATATGTCAACCAGTGACATTTTACTAATGAAAACAAGATGCTACAGTGTCGCTTAATTTTTTTTCTTTCAGTTGTCAGATTGTTTTTAACATAGACACCAGTGTTAACTGTAGGGCTGAGCTGTATGAAAACATACTATTTAAATCCTGGAACTGTGAATGGCTGCCATCCTAAGTTTTTCTTAATTTAGTGAAAAAATTGATTTTGGCTACAGGATTTAAATAGTGTTTTTACCGATTATTATTTTGTGTGGCTATAAGTGCTAAATTGGCTCATGGTATATAACAGTTTTAAAAAATTGTTTTTGAAAACTAGGACACAAATTGACAGATCTCGAGAAGAGGGAACTACTGGCAATAGCAACTTCTTTGTATGTGGCTGAACAACTGAGATCACAGCAATTTCTAGGGTCTCCAAGGTAAGTTCATTTCTAGGAACTAAAATGTGCTCAATGCTTTTCTTAATGGTATCTTTCCATGCACAGGAGGAACACTGGTGAGAACTGCATGGTTCCTTAATATAGTCTGTTTTTTTCTAAATCCAAATGAGCTTTAGCTTACATTCTGCCCCTCTCTCCTCTACCCCCCCCCCCGCCCCCCCGTCAGACATGGTTATTTTGTCTCCCATATTAACAAACAGGCACAAAAAAGTGTTACGAGGCAGAATAGTAATTAATGCACATCAGGAGTTTCATTAATGCAAAATGTTGCTACATTAGTAACTAACCACAAATTGAGCATCCCAAATTTCCCATGTGCCTGTTTGAAGTGATCTCAGCATTTTGGGATAGTATGAATATTCAGCTGCATAGTAAATCTTCATAAAATATTGTGGAATCATGAGTAATTCAATACCTTAATAAAGAGACATAATAGTTCAGGGTCCAGTCCTGCAAACACTTTTGATGCGTAAACATTTGCAGAATGAGGACTTTACTTTGTAAGTGTACTCTTGAGTGCAGAGATGCAATAGGAATTGTGTTTTTCTCCATTCTTTTGGGTAGCAGCGGTTGGTAATCCACTTTAGCATTATTAATTGGCCATGAATTTGTAGGTATGTTGTGGCATGGCAGCCCCATGTAGTGCCCCTTACTGGCCAAGCATGGCACTGCCAGCTTCAATTTCCTTCCCCAAGATGGATGGTCTCTGCTCTCCACATAGCGATCTGTGCTGGAGAGATGGCTTAGCTCTGGCCAAGTCACAAACAAAACTTAGCTCTTCTGGGGTAGTAAAAATCCATCTGAAAAAGTCCCAACAAATGAAAGGTCCTTTTGCCTTTGGGGGGCTTTGTTTTCAGGCAGTGCTCTGGGCCCTGTTCTGGGCTACCTGTGAGAGGCTTTCTGGCTCTGGGATAGAGCACTCACGCCCAGGCTGGTTCCCCTGGTGTACCATTCTCAGCCCCTGCTGGGCTCTGTTCCTTGAATCCTTCCCTGCTCTGTGTAGGACACTAGTTCCCCTGGAGCGTCTGGCCTTCTGCAGACCCTGCTGCTCCCTGAGGTTCAAGATCCCAGACTGAGCTCTCTGTGTTTTTATAAGGCTTAGGTGTCCATTAAGCTGGCACTTGACCCTCCTTAGTCTCACCCCTCTGTGTGGAAGCAGCTAATTAATTATGACACTAGTGTAGCTGTCCCCAACTCCCCTAAAGGGGCTAGTCACTCTGTCATGGTAACCAGTGCCAGAAGACTAATTCATTTATTTTACTCTTTGGAAGACTGTGCTTGTTATTGCCATGATGTACACAGCTTTTACTGGTCTCAGGCCCAAGATCTTAAACTGGAGTCTTTCTTAGTGCATTTTAGTGCCTTGCTGACTTCTAGTCAATGTTCTTACTTATGACAATCACCTAGTTTAATTGAATATAAAACCTGTGTTTTGGAAGTTTGCAACAGTTGCATACAATTCATCAAAATTTCAGCGTGATTCTTTTTCTTTTCTTTTTATGTTCTTGGGTTAATAGCTTTTTTACTATGATAGGCAAACATTCAAATTCTATACCAGTGGTTTGACAGAATATTTTATTATAGAGTATTGTTGATCTGAATAAACCAGTTTTACCGTGATCAGGAATAAATAAAATGGTGGCTTCTAGAAGTTTTTTTATTTTTATTTCAATCCACAAAGACAAATAGTACCACATGCTTTTCAAAAAGGATTTACAACAAGCATTAAGGCTTTATATGGCATCTGTAGAGCAAGGTCATTGCTTGCCTTTTGCACCCACATAGGGAGAAAGGGAATATAAAGTGCACCTTTTAGTCCCCTGCACGGGTTATACCTTCAATACCTCACAGCGCAAGGAGAACAGCAGCCTACACAGGGCTATTGCTGCTCAACCTGGGGAAAATGAGTGAGCAGGGGTAGGGAGGGGATCAAAGCTTTGACTGTACTCTGCACTGGCCAGCATGGAAAGTTAAGTAATCTGCTGGTGGTAGAGACAAGCAACACATTACTTTCACCCTTCAAACAAGGAGGGGAATCATAAAATGAACGGTGGCTCTCAAAGTCCAAATTCATTCCCTTTTTTCATCTGGCCCTGATACAGTTTGGTGTCCAGACAGAGTTCAGCCAGGATATTTCATTCATTGATCTGGTCAAATTTACATTTTTTGGTGTGAGGGAAAACAGAAAGCTCTTTGGGGCCAGGATAGCCTCTTTGTTTATGCAATGCCCAGCACACTGGGACCCTGACCTCTAGATGCTATTGTGGTGCAAATATTATAATCCCAAAGTTTTGGTGAACTCAGCTACACTGGAGTTTCTCCAGGAGGTTTGACTGGAGTCTTGCAAACAAGCACTGTAGAAATGTGGGTACCAGCCACAGCAGTATTTTGTAGCCAAGCACATTGAATACTGCCTTTGAGTATCGGGTGCCCAGTTTAATCACAAGGACAAATTAGAGAAGCCTGTGACTAGTCGTTCTAGTCACCATTACCTCTGAAAGGCAAGTTTGGAAATTAGTTCCCATATGCATACAAGAGCCGCATTGTCTTTGTCACGAAGAAAAGGTTATTTTTATAGCTCCAGAAACCTTTATGGTCAAGGTAAGTTCCTCTTTCCACAGTTCCTAGGAAATAGTTCTCTCATCATTTTGTTCTAATAGTTGGAAAGTTGTGGCATAAATGGGCATTTCTGGAGCTCTAAAGGGGGCCAAGAATATGGAGGACGTATGCTGATTGTTCCCTGTTCACCTCATTCTATTCAAAATGCCAAAGCCTTAGGGCCTCAGGGTGCTGCACCAGTTGGCATGGTAGGCATCTGGGAAACTATTCACAGCAGTCACCAGAGACACTAAGGGAAATATGTGTGAGCCTCTTCTGAGGAAGATTTGCAAAAGTAATGAGAGATTTCTTTCTTGATAATTTCCTTTAGCAGCTTCTCACCAAATTCAACCCACTCTGCGAGTCTGGTAAATTACCAGAATTTAAAATGAAAATTTTCTGTAAAGGGAGACTTAGACATTCAGGGTATGTCTACACTATGAAATTAGGTCGATTTTATAGAAGTTGATCTTTAGAATTCGATTTTATACAGTCAATTGCGTACGTCCACACTAAGCACATTAAGTCGACGGAGTGCATCCTCACCACCGTGGCTAGCATCGACTTAAGGAGTGGTGCACTCGGGGTAGCTATCCCTGAGTTCCCGCAGTCTCCGCCACCCATTGGAATTCTGGGTTAAGCTCCCAATGCCTGATGGGGCAAAAACATTGTCGCGGGTGGTTTTGGGTACATGTCGTCAGTCGCCCCTCCCTCCGTGAAAGCAATGGCAGACCATCATTTCACGCCTTTTTTCCTGGGTTATCCATGCGGACGCCATAGCACGGCAAGCATGGAGCCTGCTCAGCTCACCATCACCACTGCTGTTGTGGGCAAGTCTACTGTAGGGGCTGCTGTAATCCAAGTAGCCAATGCAATCATTGACGTTCTGTTATCAAGGGTAGTGACTCTGGGAAATGTTCGGGCCTTTTTAGATTTTAGGTGCATCGCATTCCTGTCCTTTCTTGCTGGTGAAGAAGTCTTGCAGCCGTGCATTCCAGTCCGGTTGGCGCTGTAACACCCACAGCACTTCTGTGGTTGACACATGTAACAGCTCCAGGGCTATTGTTCGTTTGCCTTGGCCGAGGTACCTTGCCCTACCAGGACCTCCAAGCATTCGACACAGAAGCACCTGCAGCAGCTGGCATTGCTATGCAGCAGCAGCTCCTGGGTGGTGCAGTAGGACTGCTAGCTGTCCTCGTCCATGGTGTACTGCTCCACCGCTTCTGCTGCAAATATGCTCTTCTGCAACTCTGCAGCAGACAGTGCAGTAGGACTGGTAGCCGTCCTCGTCTGACAGGTAGCTTGGCCGGGGGTTCTGGGAAGTCTTCCCTGCCAGGCTCCTAGCAACCTCCAGGGCATGGTGTATGGCTCCACCGCTTCTGCTGCAACTCTGCTCTCCTGCGAGCTGGAGGCTTCTGCCTCAGGCTGCTCTCCCAGCCAGTAGCACCGCACGGTCGCACCTACCCCTTGCTCCCATGGCTCATGAAGCCTGGACAGTAGTAAGGAGCAGTTCAACTATAGGCTGAGCAAGTGCAGAATGGTGGTAGAATGTGCCTTTGGACATTTAAAAGCTTGCTGGAGCTGTTGGTCAGACCTCAGAGCAACCAACATTCCCATTGTTATCGCTGCTTGCTGTGTGCTCCATAATATCTGTGAGAGTAAGGGGGAGATGTTTATGGTGGGGTGGGAGGTTGAGGCAAATTGCCTGGCATCCAATTTTGAGCAGCCAGACACCAGGGCGATTAGAAGAGCACAGCTAGGCTCGCTGCGCATCAGAGAGGCTTTGAAAACCAGTTTCATGACTGGCCAGGCTTGGGTGTTATATATGTTTCTCCTTGATGCAAACCTGCCCCCGTTGTTGATTTTAATTCCCTGTAAGCCAACCACCCTCCCTTCTTGGAAATAAAGTAACTATTGTTTTGAAAGCATGCATTCTTTCTTTATTAATTTTAAAAAAAATGAGATAATGGACAAGGTAGCCTGGGTGGGGTGGGGGAGGAGGGAAGGACAAGGCCACGTTGCTTATTGTAGCCACACTACAAATCACTGTTTGAATGACAGCCTTCTGTTGCTTGGGCCATCCTCTGGAGTGGAGTGGCTAGGTGCCCGGAGCCTCCCGCCCCGCGTTCTTGGGCATCTGGGTGAGGAGGCTATGGAACATGGGGAGGAGGGTAGGCGGTTATAAGTGGATGCAGCGGGGGTCTGTGCTCTTGTTGGCTTTCCTGCAGTTCCAACAGATGCTTCATCATGTCCATTTGCTCCCCCATTAGCCTCAGCATCGCGTCCTGCCTCCACTCTTCGCACTCACTCAATTCTTTCCTGGCCTCTGCCACTGAATGCCCCCATTCATTAAGCTGTGCCCTATCAGTGTGGGAGGACTG